TTTATTTATTTATTTATTTATTTATTTATTTATTTATTTATTTATTTATTTTTTTATTTTTTTTGTAGCTCAAAATTTCTAAATTTTTGTACTTGAAAAGCTACTACTTCATGATTGCTTTTATACCTTACCCCTTTCCCCAACCCACCTAGCATGAAATATTGTACATACATGTAAGGGGGCATGAGCATGTATTTGTTAAAAACAGTTTAAAGTTTATGGTTATTAAAAATGACACACAGTTAACAAGCATGCTGTCAAAGCTTATCTTAAAGAAAATGTTAGATTACAAAGTTAATTTGTCTTTTTAGTTTCATGTCTAATTCAATATTCACTTTGAATATCTCTGTTTGAAATTAAAAGGCACAACATTTTGATATGGCAAATTGAATGATCCATTCACTGCTGGCATTGTTTTTTTGACTTTTTCACTTTCAACTTTTAGCATTAAAACGAGCAATAGCATCATATCACAGTTTATTCCATAGTTTTGATTATCGTATAGACCTCTTAACACATGCATATTTAGATTTAGTCAACTTCTGTATGTGGTAAATGTATGCCAATGACCAGAGACCCATAGATGTACTGAGAATGTATGTTGATTGACTTTTACAATGTAAGGTGCAGTCATGTAGAAAATTTATATCCATACTGAATTGAGACTATAATTAAGTTTGTTTCATTCCTGAATGTTATGTTTATCTTCTTGTGTCATGTTTGATGGAATAGAATAAAGCACTATTGCAGAGTGTGAATGTTTAAAATAAGGTCACCAAATTTCAGGACCCATATTGGTAAAACTGCAGATAGAAATTATGAAGTAAATATTCAATTATTTTTTGAAGGGTATTAAGCCATTCAGGTGTAAAATCTAGGCAATCACTTCTATGAATTTTGAGCTCTGTCGTCAGATCCTTATGTTGTTACTCTCCCTCAGTGTAAAACCTGTCACACACCACCCTCTACGACCGAAACAAAGTGGCAAGATAATAGGTATTGCCAGAACTTGCAGTGAGTACTGCAGACAGGTAGTACCATGCACAACTTGGCGTGATACTAGTATGTTGTAGCATGGAAGTTATTCGTCGTCTTCCAGTTTCATGTTTCACTCTCTGATTGGTGTACTGTCAAAACTTGATGCAGCTACACATGTAGCATCATGCACATCACCCTAAGCAACTCATCACGGTATGACTCGATAAAACTGAACATGCTCAGAATGATACAAGGGAAAAAAACAATCATCAGAGCAGACACTGACCACCTAATACGACACAACAGTTGGGTCACACGGCATTGTGGTGTGGTGGGCTTAATGTGTATGCGAATGTAGAGCAGAAGATATAGTAGCACATATATTATATGCATAAAAGTCAGTTGGCAGACATGTGTATTGACAAGCAGTAAATGTAGTTTTGTGGATTGTACTTAATTCTGTATTATATTCATTGTTTCTAAAATATACTTCATTAATTTTGACTGTTCATTATCTCATGTCCTGTCTCGAGTCCTGTCTGTTCTAGCCAACTGTTGATGGTCAATAATTGTTTATTCCCTGAAATATCTCTAAGCATATCTGTCTTGATGAACTGAATTGCTCATATTTTTACCATGTCTATATTGTATTTTATTCGTGTAGGATTACAATGGAGGCATCTTATGGAGAGAAGAAAAGGAGCTACGTAAAGCGTTGTATGCATCCTTACAATCCCTGAAACCTCATAGGAAAGGTGATTCGACTACCGGCAGCCTACCAGGAAGCTCATGCTCTACTCCGCCCACTTTCAGACGGTACAAAGAAAGACGTCTCCCAAAGAAGTGCAAAGAAAAAAAGGAAGAAGAAAGGGATAAAGGGTACAGTTCAGATACTACTTTTAATTCTCAGCATAAAACCAGGATTCGAAAGAAGAGAAAAGAAAGCATTTCCAGCAGTTCAGTTAATTCTAACTCTGAAACTGAAGTTGAAGAGCTCCCAAAGCCTAAAAAGTAAGTCTGTGTTAGATTATACTTTCCACAGTGTACAATCTAGAAAATTATACTATGACAGACTGAAGATGACTTATTTGCATACGTAAATAATTTATTGCATTGACACATGACTAATTTGTGTAGTTTATTTGAACGCTCTTGATACTACATGTACACCTGTACTCTGTTGGGTGTCTTATTATTTGTACAATCATAAAATTGAAAAAAAGTGTCAAAATGATTCTTCTAGTTATGCAAAAAATGCCAGGAAAACTCAACTTTAGAAGGTTTATGTAAATTATGTATCAAAGTTTATGTAAATTATTATTTTTGGTTTAATGACTTAACACTTAGCTTGCTGAAGTTCTTTTTTTCCCATTCATTTGGCTGTCTGTGAAGGCTTTCGGTAGGCAATATGTTGATCCATATGCTAGTTTTAAAAAAAAATATTGAGTTGTAGTTTGATGTTATAGGGTTTGTTATTGTGCCTTTGTTATAACTGAAAGCCATTCTTTTCCGTTGATTGCACTATTTGCATGATAGGTGTTTTCACTCTTTTTAAATGTCATTATGCTACTGTTCCACTAATATCATGTATCAACTAACCACATATTTTCAGAAATTAAATAAATACTTGTCATTAATGACATATTTTATTAGTCCCTTACATCCATATGCACCTGTATCTCAGACGTGCCTGGGCAAATGCATAAATTTTGCTTTATGATTGATCAAGGATGGCAGATTGGCTGCTGTTTTAGTGCTAAAATTATCAAAATAAACATTTATGCCCCTATGGAACTGGCTACCATTTATACATGGACATAATTCATTCAAACTTGCTATGTTCATTGAGCATAATGAATCTTGATGCATATCATTTTTTTTTATTTGCAGATCAGCTCCAAAATGGCCAACTGGTGGCCACTTTGTTTTAACATGTTTAGTTCATATCTGACACGCCTTGACTGATGACATTCAAACTTTACATGTACACTGTGCATTATGTCACATGAGCTCATTCCATTAGATGGTTGAATGGTATTATCAAACATGTAGTAATTTTGTTATAGCAAATTCTGTTCCAGGGCTGTCTCTCTTACATGTCTTGATCATACTCATTCAACACAAATACACAAATAAACTGGCTTAATGCGCTGTGTATAAAAGCAATTGATGATACTGAATGTTTGTACATGCCTCGTTACTTCTTACTGACTTCTCCCTCAATTGCTCCCTTTCTCATTGACTGGCTCAATCACTGACTCGTATATCTATTTCACAGACCTCGGGTGCATGCCCAACGTAAGTTTCCGTCGTCTTTGCCGGGTACACCTAATACCACTCCTGTAAAATGCCGAAGAGGTAGCAGCAGCTTACTGACCAAAAAGTGTCCTAAAACTGAAGACTTCTTAACATTCCTTTGCTTAAGAGGTAAGCCTTGCTTTATTAGTCCCCGTTCGGACGAAGTCCGTAAACGGGGACTTATGTTTTGACCTCTGTGTGTCCGTGCGTGGGTCTGTGCGTGCGTCCGGACCTGTATCTTAGAAATGCCTGGACCAATCACAATCAAACTTCACACATACATTATACATAATATCATACATATGCATGTCCATTTGTTTTACGATCTGATTCAAGATGGCCGAATGGCGGCCATTTTTGTGCTAAAAAATCATAAAAATCAAGTATTTCTCGGCTGTTTACAGATGGATTTTGTTCAAACTTGATATATACATTAGACATTGTGCGACCTTGATGCAAATAATTTTGTTTTTCAGATAACATTCAAAATGGCCGACTGGCGGCCATTTTGTTTTAATGAATGGGCTTCTAGACCCATATTTCCAACTTGTTTTGACTGATTATGTTCAAATTTTAAATATTCATTATACATCATGTCATAGATTGACTGGTTTGACGATCCTATTCAAAATGGCCGAATGGTTGTCATTTTTGTGCTAAAAAATCATCAAATATCAAGCATTTCTGGCATTTATGAATGGATTTCGTTCAAACTTGGTACATACATTAGACATTACGGGTTCCTGATGCACGTCATTTTATTTTTCAGATCAGGCTCAAAATGGCTGTCCAGTGGCCATTTTATTTTAATGAATGGGTTTCCAGACCCATATGTCTGACTTGTTTTGACTGATTATGTTCAAATTTTTAATATTCATTATACATCATGTCACAGATATACGGATATATTGGTTTGACGATTCTTTTCAAAGTGGCCTAATGGTGGCTATTTTTGTGCTTTTAGAGCCATATCTCTGACATGCTTTGACTGTCTATGTTCAAATTTCATATATTCATTATACATATATTCATAATGGCTGATTTTGTTTTAATTAATGCTGTTCTAGAGCAACATCTCTCAATACTCATTTGACGATCAGATACAAATGTCAATCATTTAAATGTTAAACAATCATCATATTCCTGACATGTTTATATTCCAGCTATATTACTATAAACAAAACTTTATGTCTTAAATTTGATAACTAACGGGGACTGTGCCATGTATGGCTTGTTTAAATTCTTCTAAACTTGAAAAATAGTCAGACCCAGAGATGATCTTAAAATGACACTGTTATTCTATACAACAGTGGGACAAGTTAGTGTTTTAACGTAAGTCTAAAAAGGCCTTGTTGTAGTTGGGGTCTATCAATAAAATGTCTACATCTATCCTATCAGGCACACCAGTGCTTCCGACAACTATGGAAATATTTGGTGCTCCACCATCTCCCGAAAAGCTGCGTGATGAAAAAGAGCACAAACACATTAGTCATGATAGTGCTACTGCCAATACTAGTACTGCTTCAGTCACTGCAGTAGATAATGAAGACTCAGGAGTTTCCATGGATAGAAGTAGTACAGTATCACATGATGGTGCTAATTCACCAGTTAGTAGTATCACAGAATTAATAACAGATGAAAGTACAAATGAAAGTCTACAAGATGCAAATGCCACTACCAATGCAAAGGTAAGGATTTTGGTCCACTACTTTAATTTTAACATATATTAAGACTTTTTAGTCCCCGCTTGGATGCAGTCCGAAAACTTATGGATTGACCTTATGGATTGACCTTATGGATTGACTTTATGGATTGACCTTGGTGTATGTGTTCGTTTGTGCTTCTGCCTCTGTATCTTAGACATGCCTGGACCAATCACAATCAAACTTAACACATACATAATATTATACATATGCACATCAATTTGTTTCATGATCTAATTCAAGATGGTCGAATGGCTGCCAATTTTTTGCTAAAAAATCATCAAAAGCAAGCATTCATGAGTGGATTTTGTTCAAACACTGTACATTATGGGACCTTGATGCATGTCATTTAAAATGGCCGACTGACGGCCATTTTGTTTTAATGAATACAGTTCTAGTTCCATATCTCTGCCATGCTTTCACTGATTATGTTCAAATTTTATATATTCATTATACATCATGACATAGATGTATTAGTTTGACTATCTGATTCAAAATGGCCAAATGGCAGCCATTTTTGTGCTAAAAAATCAACAAAAATCAAGCATTTCTGGCATTCCAGAACTGGATCATAATGTTTATGAGATTATGGATTACTTTTCATGTTACTTTTCAGATTTGACTGGCAGCCATTTTGTTTTAATGAATACGCTCCTAGAGCCATATCTCTGATATGTTTTGACTGTTCAAATTTTATATATTTGTTATACATCATGTTATATTTGTTTTAATTAATGCTGTTCCAGAGCAATATTTCTCAATATGGACTAGTACTCGTTTGACAATTAGATACAAGATGTCAATCATTTTAATGTTAAAAAATCATCATAATCAAGCATCATCTTCTGGATCCATATCTCTGACATGTTAATGTTCCAACTATATTACTATAAACAAAACTATATATTTTAAATTTGATAACTAACTGGGACTGTCCCATACATGACTTGTTGTTTTGACATTCAAACATTAAATTGTTTTTGTCTTTTATGACTTTTGTACTGGTTAGGGGTGATTAGGAAATCAAACCGGAGGTGCACTATGGAGGTCGGCATTTGTAGGTCAAAATGTTTAGAAAGATTAATGCTTTGTGTAGACCAAATATAATCACTCGAACTATAAATTCAAAGTGTTTTAATACATTCGCGGGAGGTAAAATTTTATGTGAACGGGAACATGCACTAAGAAGGGAAAGCAAGCCAAAGTCGAAACAGGTTGTATCATGGACTTGGTACAACTTACGCTGCGACAACTGAGTGATCAGCAACAATTGAATTTCAAGTACTTCTTTGCGAAACTTACTGCTTGGCGATGCTGACATCTAGGGTTCATTGATCGAAGTTTGGCCCCAAGTCACAGAAATGCTGCGTTACCTCAGTAATCTTTACACCCTGGTTTTATGAAATATGTTTTGTAAACTTTTTATAATCTTGTCTATATCATGTTTGAAATATTCTCTTGTTGTATGTTAGGTTGGAAAAGTGATAACACCTGTGAACACTCACATTACCTGCCATTCACCACCACCTGGAATAGTTTTTAAACAAGGATCACCACCAAATCTGAAGCCGGTGCCTCCACTTCTTTGTATAGTGTCTAAGAGAGCTCCACCACCATTGATACCTATGTTTTCACACCGTAATTCTACTGCCACAAGTGCTTCATTGACTGTCCCACCACCTATCATGTGTACTGGAATGTCACCAAAAATACTAACAAACCACACCTTGTCAAAACCCAAACCTAACTGTACAGTGGTCAGAGAAGATGTCACAGACAAGGAGAAGGAATCAGAGCATGCACAGTGTACTAAGCAAGGTATAAATAACATCAATATGGAAGATTTACGTGTGAGTTATGTTAAATTGACTGATGCCAGACATGACCAGGGACAATCCAACAAAACAAAAAGATCCAAACCACCTAAGTTACTCTATATTCCCTCCAAATCTAAAACTAAGAATACAGTGACTTCAATTGATCATTCCAAAAACGCTGAAATATCACCCAAAGTAAGTAAAATGAGAAGAGAAGAAACAAAAGTGACTGGTGAAAGTGTGTTTAAAAAGCAGTTGAATGTGGAAATTATCAAAGTTAAGGAAGAAAAGGGACTCAAAGAAAGGAAATCTACAAGGACTTTCAAAAATCACCTACTTACAGCATGTCCAATAATTGCAGACTCCAACATGGATAGAAGTGTATCAAGAGGGACTCGCAATGCTACTGCCAAAGAAAGGACTAGAACTGAAACACACACACAGAAATCAAATTCTGCAAGTCAAGAGAAAACTTACAAACGTGAAAGTACTTTAGTTTACAAGAGTGAGGCTGGCTTAGTGTATAAAACCAATAATAATTCAATTTGCAACAATCAGATAAGTGTGACTTGTAAGAGAAAAACAATGGAAATTCAGGATATGCTAAACCCAGTAAAACGTAAACGAGGACGACCTCCAGGATCGAAAAATAAAAGTACATTGCGCCAAATTGCTGAAGCTGCATCATCAACAGTATCTACCTCAAATAAAAGACTGAAACATGCTAGTACAACTACTGTGTTCTCAAACAATAATATAATAACAACTCTTCCTGCTACTGTTTCATGTAAGGCAAACATTAATACTATTATTACTACGACTGCAGCTGCAACCGCTACTACTACTACAACCAATAATGCTATTAGCACTTCTGTTTCAAGTACTGTTTCAATTAGTAGCAATAACATTTTACGTAATCCTCCAGCATTAATTCATGTTGCATCAACCAGCTCAACTTCTGGAGTAAGTGCTTGCCCTCTAGAGGCTAAAGTTCATGATGCTCCTGTTTTTCATCCCACTGCTGAAGAATGGCAAGATCCACTGGTATATATAAAACAAATTTCTGCCACAGCACAACCTTATGGCATGTGTAAAGTAATACCACCTAAAGGATGGAGGGTAAGTCTTCTAGTTTGTACCAAGTGGTAGTGTACCATATAATAACCTATAAATACCCTATAATCAATAACCCTTTACAGTATTAATCTAGTACTGTAAAATCTATATTAGAAGCTTCTATTAAAATGGTACAATATGGTACACATATGAGAAATGATGTATTTGTTGGTTCTCAATGTGTGTGGCTACTAATACAGATTTTACGATAGTAATGTTTCCCTGAACAAAGCAAAGAATTGTCAGGTGTGCTTATAAGGAAACAGGGATGCCACAACTCAGGAATAGGGGGTGCTACAACCGTTTAAAAGAGTACAGTGGCGCCTCAACCACTAAAAAGGGGTAATATATTCAAACATTTGGTGGTTTGAGAGAACACTGATTTGACTGAATGCTGTTGTGTTTATACCTCTTGATAAATAACTGTGTAAGTTGATAATTGTTTCTTTCTCAGCCTGAGTGTAAACTTAATGAAGACATGAGGTTCAGTACACAAATACAGTATGTCCAAATGATGAATAAAAGGCAAGTACACATAATAGTTGTGTAAAAAGTACAAAGTTTTTTTCCACTAGAACCACATAGCCTTTAAGCAGTCATTTATTTTTATAATGATGTCATTATTGTATTTCAGATGGGGACCTAATGTTCAGCAGTTACAGTGTATAAAAAAACATTTATCCGATCAGGGAGTGAAATTATCCACATCGCCATTGGTATGTATAGGATTTTACTCTCCAGTGTTATTTTTATTTGGGCAATAGGTTATGTACTTACTTTAAAATGTTGAATTCATAAGAGTCAGACTTTATAAAATGCTGGATGTTATAAATTGCACTTGACAGTGGCAAGGACAGTTGGTGATATCAAATATTAATTACTTTCTGTTTGGAAGAAGCTCAGTCGGGAACTATTAATTCAAGTCCCGTCCATCCAGGGCAATACACGTCAGTCAATCTTTTACAAATTTTAGACAAAGACAGTATGTTTGGGTGTATATATGCAGGTCAAGTTACTCAAAATGGTCAACTGCCAGCCATTTTTGACACAAATTGTTCAGAACTGTTCCTCCGAGTTGTCTATTCAATTTTTTTCAAAAAAAAGGCTGACGACTGGTGGTTATTTTTTTTTTTTGTGCCCATGCTGATTCCTTCCTAATATATCACCTGATTCACTTGAAAGTTTGGATATAGAAACTTTACTCATAGATGATACGTTGTGTTGTTCTGTGATTTTAATAATGAAATTTGTCAAATTGACTGTCATTTTGTCTAAAATCATGTAAACATCTTCAAAACCATTTCTCGAAGAAGGACTTGGTGATTTTTTTTGAGAATCAAACAAAAATGGCTGACTTGCAGCTATTTGGTTTTTTCCTCTGCTTATATCATTGTTATTAATGAAGGGGGAAAATGTCATTTATAAAACTTGATCGGTGGCCATTTTGTTTGGTAGAATGCCATTCTGTTTCATATCCAACATGCCAAGACCAATCAAGTGTAAACATCAAACATACATTCTATCAGACGTATGCCCATGCAATTGTTTTGTGATCTGATTTTACAGCTGAAAATGTATCAAAATCACACATGTTCACCATTCACGATCCGGATCTCAGTCATGCATATATGGATTTTGTTTAAAACTTTGAACATTATGGAACCATGACACACTTTATTTCATTTTTAGGATTCAGTTCCAAATACTTAACTGGCGGCCAATAATGCACCTTTGTCATGCCTGGACCAATCAAGTTCAAACTCTACACATACTGTGGAATACTTTATTTTCGCTGGAATTAATTTTCGCTGAAAAGGCTTTTTGGGCGTTTTGCTTGGAATTTATTTTCACTGATTTTTTCATGAGTTTAATGTGAAATATAGGAAAAAAAGTATATTCACTGGATTTTATTTTCACGGAATCATCCCTTCAGCGAAAATAGCAAAAATAAATTCCAAGCGAAAATAAAGTATTCTACAGTACATAAGAATCATATCAAACATGTGCATGTGCATTTTTGCCACCATAAAATCCAAAATACATGTAGCTGACTAGTGACCATCTTCTTTAAATTAAATGATTGCACGTCCACAGAGTCGTGTCTAATACATGTATGTCGATATTATGGATATGACCTGGATAGTCATGCCTATAATATAAATATGTTATTGTCAATGACTTGTTCATTCTGTGACAACTCCTTCAATTCTCTAATTTTAGTAATTATTTGTATAATTTTTAGTAAAAAATGCTATTTTCGAAGACTTATCGGAAATGTTTAGCTCAATTGCTTCAATATTTTATCCATAGAGACCTTGAGTGGACCTAGATTGTACCAGGCAGCGAGTGTATTGTTAGTTTGTATCCATACTGAATTTTTATTTGTTATTTAATCTAGATTCACAATAGGCAAGGTTGTAATAATCATGCTGTGTTTTATGATATCCATGGTAGTTTCTTTTGAGTACAATAACTGAATCTGGCACACAGATAATGCACCTTGATGATGAGTCCTTGGTGTAGACATATGACTTGTACTGAAAATTGAGATTGACTTTTGGGAATTCCAAACAGGAACTGCGCATTGTCAACTCTTGTTACTTATTATTTATCCCTATATTTAGGTCGCTGGGTGTGAGGTGGATTTGGTGAAATTTTCACAGACGATGGCTCAGTTTGGTGGCTTACAGAATATCAATGACAAAAAGAGTTGGACGAAAATAGCGGAAGCAATGAGGATGCCTAAATCTGTAAGTCAGGTGATACTGCTCAAATTGACCAAGTATTCAAAATAGCATAACGAAAGACACCACTGACAGTGTGCCCAAACTGTCCAAAAACATCTTATTGAAAATGGTCAGTCGGGGTTGCTTTGATGTTTTATATAGAGACCTTGGTTGTACCTGGAACATACCAGGCAGTGAGTATCCTGAGTTTTCAAGCATTATAGCTCCCTGTTCAGGTACAATTTAAGGTCATTCGACATGTCAGTCTGTACATTTGCAACATTTTCTCATAAATTCTGCAGTATGTATCACTCAAATTTGCTGTGATAGATTGTTGTATGGAATAAACCAGAGATGTGCAATGATGTGTTTTTTTGTTTTAATAAAAATTTTCTGTGCTTATTATAAACTTCAATACTGTGGATCACATTGTGCATCTCAAATAGCAGACTTAAATTATTAGTCTTTAAACTATTTATAAATTATTTTAAATATTCTCTATTTCTTCAATACACTTAGGTTCGTTCTAAGCTTTCTATTTCAAACATAGACATTCATGTCTTATTTACAGCAATTCCAGGCACTGATTTGTCTCTGATGTAGTGTGCTAGATATAGATAATATTCTACAATAGGTTACACACTTTGTTTTCACATTTACCTAAGTTGCAACTAGAAATATAAACATCGACTGCAAATCAGAGGAATGATTAACAGATATTGCCCACAATGTTTTCTATTTTTGCTACAAAGTCTGATGCACCCAGACTTTTTGGTCAGTCATCGTGTTGATTGCGGAATTTGTCCAAGTTGTTTAAACACCACAATGGAGAAGCAAGGAGTCGAAAAACCAATTGAAGATTGGAAATTGAAGTGATGTTTCAAAGCAGACAGCTTATAATATCGTCAAAAGGTTTGTTACCATGGCGAGAGTATTCTGCCAGGAAAGCGTAAGAGCGACCAATCCGCGACTAAAAA